AGAGAGAGAGAGAGAGAGAGAGAGAGAGAGAGAGAGAGAGAGAGAGAGTGAGAGACAGTGCGGGACAGGAATAAATGTTGTCAAGTAGAGATATAAATTAGCCCCACTACTATGAAAATCAGTATGGAGGTTACTCAAAGGCCAAAGCAATTTGTCATAACCTAGAATTACGTGACAAGGGAGTCTTAGATGGCAAATTGTCTAGGTCTGATTGGCCTGTAAGAACACCTATGGAGAGTTGTGTGGATTGTTCAGTGGGGTTAGAGACCCACCCTGAGCATAGGTGGGTCCTTTTCACTGGATAGGCTCTGCATGTGGGTGGAGAAACCCAGCTAAGTGGAGGCTGCAAGAAAGCAGGCAAGTGTCCACTCTCTCTTTTCTTGACTAGACCAGCTGCATGAATTTCTGCCTTGATTGCCCTCAAAGACAGACTGAACCTGGAATGGAAGCCACTAAGTTGTTCTTTGTTAGAATATTTTATCACAATGGAAATGAAACTAGAATACCAAAACAAACCATCATATAACCCCCTTTGCCACCCCTGAGTATATACCAAAGGAATCAAAACCAGCATATGGAAGAGATACCTGGATGTTATTGTGACACTATGCACAAAGCCCACTTATGGCAACAGCCTAGGTGTTTATCAATGGAGAAATGGATTTTTCAGTGTGATGCATATACACATTTTATATATAATATATATATATGTTTATAGATATATATATTATATATATCAGTATAAAAACAAAATATCATTTATGGGAATACATATGGATCCAGAAGTAGTCCTGTTAAATAAAATAAGCCAGACCCAGAAAGACAAATATTCTGTTTTCTCTCATATGGCAAGTCTATACTTGAAGGGGACATGAAAATATAATTATGAGTTAAATGAGAAATTTTAAGATGTGAATAAGTTTCATAGAGGGATGTGACAGTAGATGATAACAAGTATGCATGTTATTAAAGTATGGTATATACAAGTCTGAAAATGAAATGATGAGACCCATTATTTTTAAAAAAAATTAAAAAAAAAAAAAGTAAATTAGGCCCTGGCATGTAGCTCAGTGTTGGAGCACATTCCTAGCATCTGTAAAGTCTTGGGTTTAAGTCACGATGCTACAAGTGTTTCATCAACCCTGGCTGAAGAGCTACTAATGCAGAAATACTCAAAGTAAAACTGATACTATAAAGGATTGACTCATAAACTTGCTGCCTTAGTTGGGGTTTTTATTGTTGTGAAGAGACACTATGACCACAGCAACTCTTATAAACGAAAAAATTTCATTGGTGGCTCACCTACAGTTTCAGAGGTTCCATCCATTATCACGACAGGGAGCATGGTGGCATGGAGGCAGATGTGGTGCTGGAGCTAAGAGTCTTACATCATGTTGACTCAGAGGCAACAGGAAGTTGACTAAAAGTCACACTGAGGGAAACTTGAACAAGAGAACTCAAAGTCCAACCTCACAGTGACACACTTCCTCCAACAAGGCCACACCTCCTAAAAGTGCCACTCCTGTTGAGGGCCATTCTCTTTCAAACCACCACACTTGCTTAGGAAATACTAAATTACACAAAGAATTTGGCTAAAGGAGTGTTACCTCCAATGGTCATGGCCGATAATAGTGTACTAGCCAGGCTTGTTAGAAACCGTAAGAATATTTTGTACAATAATTGATATGTGGTGTTGCAAAGAAAGTTTCTGTTAACATTTATTCACTAAGATTGACTTCCAATTAGGCTCCATCCCATAACAGAAGGAGACAACCTTGACTTACTACTAGCCATTAGGCCCATTCTTATACCAAAGAATATTCCTCTACCATCAGCACAAGGGGGCAGCTCAGGGTCACAGCCACCATAAGTCCTTGTCTCCCATTAAGTCCCCTGTGTTCCTATCAGATGAAGCATAATTCTGTCAGGTGAGCAAGGTGAACCTGGGTAACAACTATTTGAAAAGAGAAATTCTGCTGCACTTAAGTAATTATGGAAGTATATTTGCTTGTAAATCTCTCATTTGCCCAGTGGCCAGACATGCAATCTCTGTTTAAATTGTAGAAAGAGAGGGGTCTGTACCTGAAAGAGTTTTAAGGATGACAGTGTATATGGAAGGCATGAGTCTAAGGCCTATATAAGCCAGTAGAACTTTCTGTTCCAGGCCAATTCCTCGAGCACTAGCCAGAGCTGGATGTAAGCTACTATTTTTTTTTACCATTATTATTATTTTACCATTATTATTATTTTTTAAAATTTATTCTATGTGTCTTTTTCATCAGGTATCTTGATCCCATTCATTTCCCCATCCCTTTACATTTGCCCTCCACCCCTGCACAACCCCCCACTAAATAAAACAAAATTTAAGAGGAAAAAAGAAAAAAATTTCATCATAGAAGCTGCAGTGTGACACAGTGAGTCACACCATAAATCCCTTTGTTCATATACTTGCAAATGTTCATTGTAAAGAGTCCTTGGTGTAGTTTGAGACCTCTGGTTTCTATTACACTATTGATGCTGGGTCCTCACTAAGACTCTTCCTGGATATCCTGTCGTTGCCCTGTGTCATGGAGATCCTGCAGCTTTGGGTCTGTGGGTCATGTTCCTTCATGTGCTCAAAAAGGTCATAGACGGGGTGGATGTTGGGGCGGACCAAGTCATAACCCTGAGTCTAGGCCTGGGCAGCTGTAGTGTTGGTCTGCCAGATGAGAACCGAGGGCAGCTCTCTCATGGTTACAACTTTGGGGCTGGCTCACCCACACCTCCACTAATAGGATTGGCTCTCCCATTCTTATGACCATGGGGCCAGCTCTCCCACCTGCCCCAAGCATTAATGGGCAGGGGAAGGGGGGCAACTCTGCCCTGCCCATGCCACCAGATGGGTAATGGGCACAGCTCTCCAATGCTCACAATTTCAGGGCTGGCTCACCCACATCTTCACTAACAGGGTTGGCTCTATTGTGCTGCCCTGGTGAGGTACAGGGCCTGCTCTCCCGAATGTTGCAGCTGATGGGGATCAGGGACAGCTCTACCACCTGTCCCAGGTGCACATGGGCTGGGTGCAGGCAAGGACAGGGGCTGGCTATTATTAAAGAGCTTTTTCTTAACTAATCTCTAAGTGTGTGGAATAATTTATCACTAGGAAGGCATATTAAATCTACAACACTATAGCAAAAAATGGCTGCTGAGAGAAAGAGAAAAATAAGTTTTTTCTAGGCATAAGGTCCCTTTTAGGTTATCAAGGCTACACATATATATCCAAAGCACACAAAATGCACTTAGTAGGGTGTGTGTGTGTGTGTGTGTGTGTGTGTGTGTGTGTGTGTGTGTTCACAAGCACACTTGTTCTCATAAAACAATAAGAATTAAAAAGAGGTTGTGATGGGCTGGAGAGATGGCTCAGTGGTTAGAAGCACCAACTGCTCTTCCAGAGGTCCTGAGTTCAATTTCCAGCAACCATATGGTGGCTCACAACCACTTGTAATGAGATCTGGTGCCCTCTTCTGGCCTGCAGGGACACATGCAGGCAGAATACTGTATACATGAAAGAAAGAGAGAAAGAGAGAAAAAGAGAGAAAGAAAAAAACATTAAATACCTGTGTATGTACAAAGTAATATTTTTTTTAAAAAAGAGGTTGTGAATTGACAGGTAGGGAACATGAGGGGAGATGGAAAGGGGAGGAGGATGAAATTATGTAAATAGAGTGTTCATGTATGAAATTCTCAAAAAAGTAAAGTTTAAATTAAAAATAAAGTATTCTATGAGACAAATCAAGATTCAAAACTTCCAGTAGTCTGTCTTTACCCATGTTAGACAGGCAATGAGGTGATAGTCTGCCCTGTATAGGACAGTGTTGTAGAATATTATTTTAAGGTGTGTTACTTTTGTTTATGTTGCATTTATTTAACTCTGCGAAGCTGTGTTACTTTGCCTGTCTAGAACACCTGATGGTTTAATAAAGAGCTTAAGGGCCAACAAGAAAGGCAGGAGAAAGGGTAGGTGGGGTTGGCAGGCAGCGAAAATTACAGAAGGAGAAATCTGGGAGGGAAAGAGATCTGGGAGTGACAGAAGGAGAACATCAGGGGTCAGCCACCCAGCTACACAACCAGCAACAGAATAAGAAAGAAAGATATACAGAAATAGAGAAGGCGAAAGCCCAGAGGCAAAAGACAGATGGGTTAATTTAAAGTTAAGAAAAGCTGGCAAGAAACAAGCCAAGGTAAGGCTAGGCATTTATAATAAGAATAAGCCTTTATGTGTGTATTTATTTGGGAGCTGGGTGGCCAGCCCCCCCCCAAAAAAAGAGCAAAAACAAACAACAAGAGGGCAGAAATGAATTCGGTAAGCATTTGTTGTCTTCAGTTTTGTCTCTTTTGAACCTTCTCACGGTGCCTGCATTAGTATGGAAGCCCCTCTCCTGGGACTATTGATTCCTCCTTAGTCACAGCTAAAATCCTTGCTAGGTGAAAACAAATTCTGGTATTTAAAGACAAGGAGCTCCTGCTTCACTTTTCCTCTGTAGCCATCTGCTAAGCTAAGAGAAAATAAAACGAACCCAGGAATTTGTTTTCACTGCAGTGTACCCACAAATTATGGAGAGATTGAAACATGTGTTTTTGTTAGATTCCTTCACAGGACTGATCAACATCCTGACAGATATTATTTGGCGATTCACTGGAGACTTCCTGGCCCCAGACCTGGTCTGCAGAGTCATCCGCTATTTACAGGTATGGAAATCACCTCCTCAGTGGGATGAGCCACACTGAAGCCACATATCATCAGCTCTGGAAATAACATGAAGGGAATAACTACTAAACCTTTGTTCATGTGCAACCAATCACTCCCTTCTTCCTAAGTGAAAGGACAACCAAATTTTCTATAATTTATAGAAACATGGGTATTTCTTTTTCTACAAATAATGTATATGCAAAGCAACAATTAAGAAAATCATAAATACAGCATTGAGTGAAAACGGTGGTAAGTAGTAACATTTTTGACATGTTACAGTTAAATAATGCCCAAAAGTTCTATCAATGCTTACTGTTTTATCCTCAGTCTCTTCTTCTAGAAAAATGTTAACAAGTGTCTGGATAATAAATATTAACCACCTGAATACCAAATAAACTCACTTTCTCAAATATCTATTGGTATTTGAATACCTTATCTAAATTATTCTCCTTCTTCAAATATTTTGTAGCTGGGTAGTTACTATATCTTCATCTTTGGTAAGATATACTTTTAAATCTATACACACAGGGCCTGTTGATATGCTTTCATATAAACTGCATATATAGATAATATGCATATATGATTTACAACATAGCATAAGATGATTTGAACGGTGCTGGGAAAAAGGCCTTGTGGGTAAAATGCCAACAATGCATGCATGAGGAACTGAGTTTGTATCCCCAACATCCACATCAAATCTGGGCAAGATCATGTGCATCTGTAACCGCAGCAGTGGAGAGACAGAGACTGTCCAACCCCTAAAGTTCACTGACCAGCCAGTCTAGCCAACCTGTGAGCCGTGGGTTCAGTGAGAGACCCTGTGCTTCAAATCTTACAGTGATATCCCATTAATGTGTTTCTAGTGCAGTTCTTATGCAGTTCTTCAGGTCTAAATTATTTCAGCTTTACAGAAGTATAACAGCACATCTGGAAAGCATTGCCCTCTTAGAGTCCACTTGGTAGGGATTTTAGGATATCTGTATACATATTCAAAAGTAAGATTGTAGTTTCATTCACTTTATTACATTTGGGTCTTAGTAACACTTGTTTCATTGTTCGGAAACAGATGAAAAAGTTGTGATGTTAATATTTTTGTAGTCTGAATATAACTTGAAAAGGAGTCATTGCAGAGGGACACTATTTTGTTAGAGTGAATTTGTTTCAAATCCTTTGAGCATGCCAGGGTTATGGTCATCAATATGCAATACTTACATGAAAAATGTCTTTACCTTCTTGTTGAGAATATTTTTGTGAAGAGAGCTGATTTTAATTATTGTATTACTATAATAGTAATTGATTGCAGAAGTGAAAATTAGAATCAGGCTTAGTAGCCTAAAACAATATGTATTTATCTTTTTGTGGTATCTGTTATTCAAAAATTCAGGAATAGGTTTCTTGGGCTACATGTAAGTTCATCATATGGTCCATGGCACTGAGCCTCTGTAGGGCAGATCTGGGACCAGGCAATTCGCTTCCAAGGTGGTCACTTATGTAACTGACAGCTAATGTGTGGTCTGAGAAGAATGCTCACTTTCTTTCCAATGGGTCTCCGCAATTGTCAGGAAGAAATGGGGATGGTCCAAAGCTATTGCCCTTGACTGAGACATCTGACAAAGTTCAATATCTTTACATAATTAAAAAAAATGTTCAAGAAATTAGGAATAGGAAAGAAGCAACTCAATGCAAGAAATGTTGTATGTGGCAGGACCACAGCTAACACCACACTCAACAGTGATGATAGTACAGTGCTCCTTCTCAAAGATCACCAGCAGACAAGGATGCCAGCCTTGCCACTTCCACTCAACTGGAAAGGCTGCCAACAGGAGGAAATGAAAACTTCCAAATTAGAGATGTAGAAGCAGAAATGCCTCTAAGGAACCTGCCAGAAAGTTAGAATTATAAATAAAGCCAAAAAATTGCAGAATATAAAATCAAAACACAAAAATATGGAACATACCTACACACAAAAGTATTCAAAAAAGGAATTATGAGCCGGGCGTTGGTGGCGCACGCCTTTAATCCCAGCACTCGGGAGGCAGAGCCAGGAGGATCTCTGTGAGTTCGAGGCCAGCCTGGGCTACCAAGTGAGTCCCAGGAAAGGCGCAAAGCTACACAGAGAAACCCTGTCTCGAAAAACCAAAAAAAAAAAAAAAAAAAAGGAATTATGAAAACCACTGTACTTATAATAACTACAAAATATTATAAAACACTGAGGAATATATTTGGATAAGTATCTGTCAGGTCTAAAAGCTAGAAATTATAAATCTACAATTAAATAAGTTAAAGGAAAAAAGAAACAAGAGACAAGTAGATGGAAAGAGAGTTAACACCCATGGATCAGAAGAAATGCTCTTTTCTAAAACTGCTTTAAACGATCCATAGATGCAATGGAATCCAAGTAGAATTCCAACTACATTTCTGACACAAATAGAAAACACAACTGCAATACATAGAGAATCATAAAGACCCCATATAGATGAATCAGTATTGAACAAGGAGATAAAAGCTACCTCTGTCATACTGCTTGATTTGAGAAATACATGGTAATGTCACCTACAATTAGTGGATTAGTGTTCATCTGTGTCTTTAATTTCAATACTGCACTTTTATGAAACTGGGTCCAGCAGAGTATGCTGTATATATATTTACGATTGGATAGTAATATCTTTGATAACTGTCCCCTTGACTAGAATGAACTGACCACCTGTATTTCTTCTGGTTATTTTTAGTTTGAAGTCTATGTTGTTAGATATTAGAATAGTGACATCTGCCTGCATCCCAGTCCCATTTCCTTGGAATACTTTTTTATATCCTTTCACTTTTAGGTGGTCCCCATCTTTTGAGTTAAGATGAGTCTCTTGTAGATGATATAAAGACAGATTTTGTTTCTCAACCCACTCAACTAGCTTGTATTTTAAGATCGAAGAGTTGAAGCCGTCAATATGATTGAAAAGTGTTGATGTCGTGTTGTTTTGTTTTGCTGTCTGTGTCTTTAGTTGTTAGTGTTTCAGCTGTTGTGGCTTCATTTGCTACCTTTCTAGAGTCGTTTCCCTGTACTAAATCTTCTCTTTAGTCTGAAGTGTTCAAGAGATTAGCAATAGGAAGAGAGTAACTCAACACCATTTCTTCTTTTTTAATATTTAAAAACATTGTTTAAAAATAGAGAACCTGCAAACCACCAAAGCTTCTTAGAGACAGCAACTACACATCTTAACTACAAAGCACTCACAATAGCTGTTAAGAGTATTAGAGCAGGGAGAAGTGTGTCCACAGTGAGTTTGGTCACTTTTATGTCAACTAAGCAGCCATCAGCTGCCAGAATAACTAATTTTAAAATTCCTTTTAAGCTCTCTCTGTCTAATCCCAGCTATTTTCTGTGGGAAAAAAATTAAACTGTTTTTTATTCTTCTCTCATATATTACATCCTAAACACAGTTTCCTCTTCATTCCCTCTGCCCAGCCCCTCCCCCTACCTCCCCTCTCCCTGAGGTTCTCCTCTGACCCCATGCCCATGCTTGCTTACCCTCTGAAAAGAGCAGGTCTTCCAGGGACATCAACCAAACACAGCATAAAAGCTACAATAAGACCAGGCACATACCATCAAATCAAGGCTGTACAAGGCAACCTAGTGGTAAGAGAGGAGTCCCTCAAGTAGGCAAAAGAGTCAGAGACAACCCCTGCTTCTACTGTTAGGAATCCCACAAGAACACTAAGCTACTCAACCATAACATATATGCAGAGAAGCCTTACAGACCCTGACATATATGTCAGATGCTTATAGGGCTCCCTGATCTCTGTAAGCTCCCATGAGTCCTGGGCAGTTGATTCTGTGGGCCATGTTCTCATGGTGTCCATGACCCCTCTGATTCCTAGGATCCTTCCTCCCCATCCTCTGCAAGGGCTCCCTGATGTTTGACTATGGGTCTCTGCATCTGCTCCCATCAGCTGATGGTATCTCTGGTCCCTTTGATAACAATTCTGCTAGGCTTCAGTCCCAAAACACTCTGCAGGCAGGACAAACTGTGGGTCGAGGTCTTACCTGGTTACAGAAGGTGGCTAGTTTAGGTTCCTTGTCCCCCATTTGGCTTACTGAGTTTTTCAATTCCGTTATCATTTCCATTTGAGTTCTGTTTAATATTTCTATCTCTTTATTGAATTCAGTTTTCAAATCTTGGATTTTCTTTGTCAATTCATTCATCTATGTATTTGTATTTTCTTGGGAATCTCTCAGGCATTTATTACTATTCTCTTTAAGCTCATTAAACTATTTGTCTTCTGTTAATTCCTTTAATTATTTGATGAAGTTTATGGTTGTTCTTTTGAGTTCTGCATCCTCTAATTCATTTATGTAATTCTCATTGGAGAAAATTTCTATAGGAATGATGGATTTGAGGGACATATACTGCCTTGGCCTTTTGCATTGTTTGTGTTTTTGTGATGAGATCTGGCTATGTAGACTTCTCTTTTTATCTAAGATTTTAAACTTACAAACTGAATACAGGCACACAGAAAAATACCGTGCGCCATAATCACGTTAGCTTTATCTTGAAGATTTGGGGATGATTCAATATATAAGTCAAAAAAGTAATAAATCATATGATGGACTTGAAGACAAAAACTACATGATCATCTCAATAGATGAAAAAAAACTTTTGACAAAATATCCAACATATCTTCATGATAAAATTCCTCAATAGCGTAGGATTAGAGGAAACACAGCTCAACATAGTAAGGGCTGTATATAACAAACCCAAAGCCAACAACATCCTAAATGAATAAAACCTCAAACAACCCCATTAAAATCAATAAAGCACATGGCTGTCCACTTCTCCACCCATCATCACTCTTTTTCAATATGGTTCTTGAAACATTAGCTAAATCAATAAGTAAAGAGAAGGAAATGGACAAATGTATTAAATGGATACAAATTAGAAAAGAAATATTCAAATTATCCCTGTGTTCAGATGATATATTAAACACAGAGATCCCAAAATTTTCA